GTAAAAACGAAATGAATTTGACATATATGGTTATTATGGTTTAGCTATAAGGAGTCCCCCATAAACTCATGTGGGAGAGGATGTAAGAAAGTTTAGAGATGAAATGATTGGGTTATAAAAGGTTTAACCTAATCAATGTATTAATCTGATAGGTTAACCTGATGGGTAACTAACTGTACACAGATAAGGTGTGGCTGGAGGAGGAGGGTCCCTAGGGGTATGTCTTTGGAGTTTATATTTTGTCCTTGTTGAGCAGAACTCCTTCTCTGCTTCCTGGTGCCATGTTGCTAGCTGCTTTTCTCCACCACACTCTCCTGTCATGATATTCTGCCTCACCTCACACCTCAAAGAATGGAGCTTGTGGTGGTGGACTTAGAACTCTCAAATCATGAGCCCCAAAATAACTTTTCCTCCTCTAAATTTGTTCTTTTCAGGTCTTTTGCTTGCAGCAGCAAAAAGCTGACTAAAACAATGGTGTACTACATATAAAACCCAGCTAAATTGATTAATTAGACTTAAACCACCTGCAATACTGCAGTGGAATTGTGAAGATATCTCCCTGGAGTTAACAGGCTCCAAAGTTAAAAGCACTATCCTCAACAAAAATTCTCTCTTCAGATACCAGCCAGAGGTTTGGGGATCTAATTGGCAAGTAATTTGGGAATTGCACAACATTTTCAGGTTTAATAATTCACTAACAGAAGTTGAGAAACACTATACTTATGATTGCTATTTTATTAAGGATAGATTATCAGATCCAGTCATAAACCATATATAATAAAATGAAATTAGACCCCTCTCTCTCACCCTGCATAAAATTCAACTCTTACGTAGATCAAGGACCTAGGCATTAGACCAGAGACCTTGCATCTACTAGAAGAAAAAGTAGGCCCAAATATCCATCATGTCAGCTTAGAAATTAAATTCCTCAATAAGACTCCTGAAGTGCAAGAAGTAAAATCAAGACTCAATAAACATATCAAACTAAAAAGTTTCTTCACAGCAAAGTAAACAATCAAGAACATGAAGAGAGAGCCTTCAGAATGGGAGAAAATCATTGCCACCTGCACCTCAGATAGAGCACTAATCTCTAGGATATACAAAGAATTTAAAAAACACCAAAGCAACAAATAACCCAGTCAATAAATGGACAAAGTAACTGAACAGGCACTTCACAGAAGAAATAATGAGTGGTCAACAAATATATGAAAAAAATGTTCAACATTACTAGCAATTAGAGAAATGGAAATTAAAACTATATTGAGATTCTATCTCACTCAGTCAGAATGGCAGTTATCGAGAATACAAGTAAAAATAAATATCAGAGAGGATGTTAGGGGAAAGGTATGCTCATACATTGCTGGTGGGACTGCAAATTGGTGCAACCATTCTGTAAAGCAGTATGGAGATTCCTCAAAAAACTTGGAATGGAACCACTATTTGACCTAGCTATCCCACTCCTCAGCATATACCCAAAAGACTTAAAATCAGCATACTTTTCAGTGACATAGCCTCATCATAGCAGCTCAATTCACAATAAATATACTATGGACCAACTTATGTGCCCTTCAGTAGATGCATAAAGAAAATGTGGTACATACACACAATGGAATATTACTCAGCCATAAAGAAGAATGAAATTATGGCATTTGCTGGCAAATGGATGGAACTGGAGAATATCATACTAAGTGAAATAAGCCAGTCCCAAAAATCCAAAGGCTTTTGGAGTGGGGAGGAAAAGAGGAGGATGGGAATGGGAAAGACAGTAGAATGAATCAGACATAACTTCTCTATGTTCATGTATGAATACAAACCAGTATAACTCCTCATTATATCTAACCACAAGAGTGGGAAGTTATATTCCATGTATGTATGATATGTCAAAATACATTCTACTTTCATCTATAACTAAAAAGAACAAATTTAAAAATTATTAATGTCCTGAAGGAAAGTGTACAAAACAGACTATTTTACAGGCAACTGCTTTGGGGGCTTTGTTTCTAGATTGAATGTTGGTGTTCTCTTGAAATTCATGAGTTGGGGCCTTTGGGAAATGATCACGTTATGAAGTCACAGCCTTTATAAATGGAATTAATTGCTCTTACAAAAGAGACACCAGAGTGCTCCCTTGTCTCTTTAACCACATGAGGATGCAGTGAGAAGACAATATCTATGAACCAGGAAGTTGTCCCTGATACCAGATCAGTGCCTTGGGCTTGGACTCCCTAGCCTCAATGGAGAAATAAATTTTGTTGTTTATAACCCATGTAGATTGTGGTATTTGTTATAGCATCCCATACTAAAATAGACTTCCAAAGGACAGGTATTTGCTTTTCCAGGGAACCTGACAAGGCCTTATGAAGACAAAGAGGAGCAAAGCCAAGGTTGGAAATCAAGTGGTTCCATGGCAGAGTGTGTTAATTAGCTTTTCATCACTAAACAAATATCTTAGATAAACTTATAAAGGGGAAAGGTTTATTTCAGCTCACTTTTTTTAAGTTTCAGATCATGGTGTGTTGGCCTCATTGCTTCTGGGCCTGCTGGGAGAAAGCACATTATGGGGAGATGTTACAGAGCAAAGTCACTCATCTCATGGAACTCAAAAAAGAAGAAAAGGAAGTGGAGAGGATGTCCCACTTTCCTCTTCGAGGCATAACCCCAATGACCTGAAGACTTCCCACCAGACCCTACCTCCTGATGTTTCTGCAACTTCCTTTAAAACATGGGCCTTTGAGGGACATTCCAGATCCAAGATGTAACACACTACTATTGACACTAAGAGCCCAACTGCACTTCAAATTAGGGAATGGTCACTCTCTAAGGAACACATAAATGATAGCAGAATTTTGTAATTTCAGACTAATATAAAAACACGTAGCATAAAATTGTACATGCCATTTTATGACCTGCTCTTTGTATATCAGCTCACTCATATCAAGTTTCTTAGTCAGACTGTGCACATGCTGCTCCATATGCCTTTACTCTTCTTTACACTCTTATTTTCTCAGGATTAACTCCTATTGTCTTTTATCATCTCAATCTCAGAGTCTTTGGTTAAATTTCATTATATGTTATTTACAATCATTCAGTGCTCCTTGAAAAAAGCTCAGCTCTTTAACTTTTCCATCCCATCTTCCTCCATTCCCCAGAGTCTACTGTAATTCTGAGTGACCTGTGCTCACTAAAGAATAAAAGACAGGGCCATAAGAAGACCTAACAGACATATTTTTCTATTCTCTTCTCCTGTGAGGAAGTTTCATTCTTTTAAAACTGAAAGATTGATTCTGAAGCTAAATGTGGAATCAAGTAAGTAAACAGAAAGGTAATGTTTGTGTAAGGGAGGCGTTAATAAACATGTAATGGCTTTGTTTTCTAGGTAGAAGAAAGTTCATCTTTTGGGAATGTGAGGAGTAGATAAGGGGTTGAAGATTGACAAGGATGTCAAAATTTCAATTAACTGCTGTGAGAAGTGGGAGAGGAATAGAAGACACACCAAGGATTTGGCAGTGTCCTGAGGATATGAAGTGAAGTTGGGATGTTAGTGGTCATGACACTGATGCTACTGATGGTACTGACATGGTCTGATGTCCCAGTAGCATTCTGTACCCCAAAGGAGGTTGAACCCATCCAGGACAGGACTTTGCTAGGTCCATACAATCAGGAATTTGAGAATATAATGTATTAATAGAAGTGCTCCAGTGTTCTGACATTGAGTAACTATTTCAAATTCTGGTTCTGTCCCTCACTTTATGACCCTGTGCAAATTACTTAACCTTTTGAAGTTTTATTGTATCATGTCTAAAATGAGAATAATCATGTATACTTTACTGAGTGTCTTGCCTCTATATTATTCTGGGACCTGGAGATACAGCTGAGATCAAAAAAGAGACAAAAATCCATTTTCTTGGAACTAATCATCTAGTGAGGAGAAAGTAAGATTAATAAAATAGATAGTATATTAGATAAAATGCTTGGAGGAAAAAAAGCAGCCCCCCCCCTCAAAAAAAAAGTTATATCACTATAGTGGACTACAATTTTAAGATGGGTGGCCAAGGAAAGGACTTAGTGGACTGATGTTTGAAACTCAAAGGGATGAGGGTGCATATAAAATGAGCTAAATATCTGGTACACAGTAAAATTCAATAGATTCAAACTAATATTATTCTGACTGTGAACAAAGTGCCTAAAATGACAGATCAGTGGGAGCTGGCTGGTCTCCCTAACCGTTTTACTGAGGAACCTAAAACAGAGCCTGAGTGACTCCGGTCTCTGGCTGGAGCTCTTCATTAATTCACACTCCAGAGTCTGAACCCTCAAATACCACTGTTTGTTTAAAGAACTGCTGAAGCGCCACTTACTAAGAGGCACCTTCATACTATTCACTATTCTTCACTTCTCACACGTATGCCCTTAGAGATGTCGCCAATCTTCTTTCATATTAACGCCAGGTCCTGGTTGCCGTTTGTCTTTGGGTATGTATGTCACTTCTCTAGTTCTTATTTTTCATTGCAAAGTGAAAAGGTCATACTAGAAGACCAACTTTCCGACTTTATTATTTTACGACTCCAGCAAAACCCATATCCCCACTCCTTTTTCCTTGTTCATTCAACAACCTGACTGCAGCTGGTAACCTCAGTCCAAATTCTCCAAAGAAACCTAAGCCTTAGTCTGGTCAGTAACACCCAACACGGCGGAGGAACGAGAGGCCACCGGAACATTCACCACACACAGGCAACGCCTGACCTTTCTGGAAAGCCCTCCCTCTCTGCCTTTCCGGCCTTCCCCCCATCTTCTTCCGGGACACGCGCTCTCCTTTGATCCCGCCCCTCCCCCAGCCCTTAAAGTCTATTAGCTGTTTCTTTGGGGAAGCGGAGGAGTTTCCGAGCGTTGATTGGCTGCTGTCATTGTTGACGGGTTTAGTTACAAACAAGGCGTTCCTGGTCTCCCTGGTAACGCTCTGACGATAGCTCTGATTGGTCGACGTCCTAATCTTATTTTCCGTCCCTTCAGCGAGTGGCTCAGTCCCTGGTGGGGCGCGGCGGTGGTAGGTGTCGGTGGATGGTGTTTCCGAGCTGACGTGGCTTAGATTGGGAGGGGGGCCGCTGGAGCCCCCCATCTCAGTCGCTTCTAGGTGAGTGGGTGACGCTCCCCAACACCTCCCCTCCTCGAGTGCTGTAAGGGTCACCTCTGCCACACAGGCCGTGGGGACTTTCGGAGCAGCCACAGTCGAGTCCCTTCCCTGCCCCGCCTCTCCCGGATTCACTCTGGGTCCAGCTCTTCATCCGCCTCCCTTCACCTACCAGGCCTAGTTCTAGGAGCCCTCATTCCTGTGGGCCCCGCCGAGGGTTTTGGCGTCGCTCTGCGCGGCTTCGCAGCACGTACTCGCGGTCTGCCCCTTTCCCAGGACCTTTCTCCTCTGGGAGCGACGGGGAAGGGCTCCCGGATCAGTCCTGTCCTCTGGGCCCTCTCTCCTGAGCGGCCCGCTTTAGTCGGCCTCGGTAACGCAACAACTTATATCGGAGAGAACCTGCCGGGGGCCCTCGCATCCTGGTCCTAAACAAACTTAGTGTCCCGAAGGGGAGGCTGGTCTTAAGGCCGGAGATCAAAGAAACGTTGGAACTCGGCATACAAACGCAACACGGTCGAACGATCCTTCTAATGCTAAAGGGTTGCTAGAGAGATGAGACGAAAGGGATCCCTGTGATTCTATCAATGCTAAAACCCCAGGAATCAGGTGGCAGGCAGTTGGAGGAAAGGGGACTTAAAAGAGAATTTTGGAGGAAAAGAACTTGATTTGGTTGCGTGGACTGTTTATTGTGGGTAACACACGTAGGAACGCGAGGGTTGACAACTGGTGAATACGTTTCTCTGACTTATTTAAAGAGCTCCAGTTCGTCAATGGGGAGAGAGCACTTTAAAAATGGGACAGAGGTATTTAAAAATCTTGGACAAGCGCTTTCACTTTTGGAGATAGTTGGAAGCTGTCCAAATGTAAAAGGGACCCGTTTACAGTTCTATGCAAGATGGCAGTGGAGAACTTAACAGAATTGCTAGCTGCCTTTCCAGAAGCCATAAATTAATAACAGTGGATAGTCAGAATGACTATGAAGGATCAAATCCAGGAAATACTCTGTTGGAAAAAGAGGAGGATTTAGTCATGAAATAGATACAGTGTTAAAAGAATACTTAAAAATTGCGGGCTGGTGTGTAGCCCAGTGGTAGAGCTCTTGCCATTTTTTTTTTTTTAAAGTTGTCCATGGACCTTTATTTTATTTATTTATATGTGATGCTGAGGATCGAACGCAGTGCCTCACACATACCAGGCCAGCGCTCTACCACTGAGCCACAACTCCAGCCCAAGCTCTTGCCAATTTGAGCATGTATTTTCCCCCAAATATTGTATACTTCTTTTGGCTAACATGTGACTGCTAATATAAATATATCACGTCTGTTATAAAACATACAAAAATATAAATTTTAAAGAATGATTTTTTAAAAAATGGTAGAACACTCCCAACTCAATTTGAAGATCATATTGGAACTCTGCATACAAACGGAAAACTGTCAGTCCAACGATCCTTCTAATGCTAAAGGGTTGCCAAGAGAGATGAGCCAATGCCTTGTTTTTTCAAGGTTGTTTGCACCTGAGGATCTCCAGAGTGAGGGGAACCTCCATAAGTCCCTTCCTAAAAATAATCATCTTTAGATCTTTTTCTTCTTTTCCTATAACTTTTATTTGATGTTTAAAGCCCCCTGCTCTTTTCCCTCCTTTGGGTTAATGGATTGATTAGGGGATGTTGATATTACATTGTTTATAAAATAAATCATTAATTTCTCTAGGTTAACTACTATTAGGAATAAATTATTTGGAATGGACACATCTCACCAATAGTCATTACATAGTAACTAGTCTATTGTCAAGAACCTTTAAGAAAGTAGAGATTAGGCTCTACCATACTGTTTTTAATTAAGATATTTTAAAATCATTTATGTATACTTCAGTACCAAAGGATATAATGTAAAACAAACAAACTTCTTTGCCGCAGTCCGGCTGCAGCAAAATAACCAGGGTGGGGGTGACGAATAACTTGTGTAGATTGATACAGCAGGAATGGAAGCCATTTATTGCAGGACAGGAGCAGTATTTATACATTCCACACAGCTTATCTAATTAGCATAAACTAGATACATCAGTCAACCAATCAGGAATCTCCACACTTAATGGCTTGCTTTTGTTACTTTTCCCCTGGCAAAATGCCAGGTGTTATTTTGACTTGTTCACAAACTCTAACACCTCTTGATTTTCTTCTTCATTCCCCACTAACCAGAACAATTTCTTGATTATCCTTAAGAAATTTTCTGGTCATAGTGAAGCATATATATAATATATACCTCCTTTCATATGTGAACCACAATGCACATTCTATTCTATATCCCATTTTTTGCCACTTAATACCATATTTAGTTGGAGTATTCCTAATTTGAAAATCAGAAATGATCAAAAATCTGAAACTGTGAGCACTAGGACATGATGCCACAAGTGGAAAACTCTATACCATGCATTTTCATTCCATGCACAAAATTATTAAAAATATTGTGTAAAATTATCTTCAAGCTCTAATTATAAGGTATATATGACAAAAATGAACATTGTGTTTAGACTTGAGTTCTATCCCCAAGATTGAACATTGTGTTTAGACTTGAGATAGACAAGACTTGAGATAGACAAGATATCTAATTATGTATATGCAAATAATCCAAAATTCAAAACCATTCAAAATCTGACACATTTCTGATGTTAGGCATTTTTGGATAAGGGATACTTAACCTGTATTAGACATTTTCAATATGCATAAGTATAAAAATACCTCTATTTCAAATGTGTGTGTGTGTGTGTGTGTGTGTGTGTGTGTAGTGTCCTTGTATGATCCTGTCTGTGGTATAAACAATATGGAATTTTGGGGGCCATATTATTATGAATCGTATAACATGCTAAAAAATCACCTATTATTCTTAAAATTAAAAGGGCTGGGGATGTAGCTCAGTGGTAGAATGTTTGTGTAGCATGCCCAAGGACTTGGGTTTAATTTCCCAGTACTGCAATAATAAATAAAAAGAAGAAGAGAAGAAAAAGAATACACATGGTGCCCTCATGCCATTATCCTTCTTTTTCAGCCTTGGTGAAGAATATTGGGTGCTGAGGTTACTCAAAAAATAGAATGTCTTTTGTGTACCTCTATTAGCCAGTTAGCCAAGAAACTTTGCAGAGCTGTGACTGGGCAAATTAATTTCCTTGTGCTTTAGTTCACTCACTTTAAAATTAGGGACAATGATAGTATCTCCTTATGAGAGTCGTTATAAGAATAAAATGAGTTAAATAATGAGGAAAAATGGGTTATATATGTAAAGCAATTGGAGAAATGCTTGATGAATAGTGCTGTGTATTGATATTGCTATCATTTACTTCTAAATTTGTTTACTAAAAAATAATAACTTTGAATTATGAAAAAAAGTTTTTAGTTTTCTAATTGTCTAATTATAACATTGAGTGTGCTTTTTCTAGCTGCATAGAACTACCTTCTTTACCTTCCTCTTAGCTCTTTATCCTGGTTGAGAATCACTTTGAAAATGACTTCAGGAAAACTACAGAGGTACAACTAAAAATTCATGAAATGAGTCTGAGGAGTGACCTCAATGTAAATCTAACCATTTTCTGTGTTGTTTCTGTGGGAATGTGACTTAAATTCCACAGCAAGTGGCACATAGGCATGTACACACAGGGTCATACGTCCTGTCTTCAGTTATTTTGCTTATTTTTTCAACTTAATTATGTTCTCTGTGGTTGAGGACATGCTTAATATTCCTTTTATTTTTATAGTTCCTACCATAACCTTACACATTAGATAACTATGTTAAAAATAGGAATTGCTGATAAACAGTGAAGGCTTTAGAAAAGTAATGCTTTATTTAATTCTCAGTACCATTGTTGACATATAGTGGCTGAGTTTGTGGAAGGTGCAGCCTACATGGACTTTGAGGGATTGTTTTATTCACCCAAGTGTTTTACAGAAACCTAGCATTGGCATGATATAAAATATATAGTCTATTTAATTTGTAATAAAATTAAATATTTCTCAATAATTATTGTCATTAATATTATTGTTATCCTGTTTTCATGTGAATGTATCCTTTGCATGTAATGATTTTCAGTAGGATGCTAGTAAAACACAGCCTCCTAGGAAAGATGAATCAGAATCTCATGTATGGTAGTGGTATAAGGGAGAAAGGAAGAAAATTATAGTTCAGAAAATATTCAGGATCTTTTTTTTAATGTTTATTTTTTAGTTGTAGTTGGACACAATACTTTTTTTTAAAATTTTTTTATTGTTGGTTGTTCAAAACATTACATAGTTCTTGATATATCATATTTCACACTTTGATTCAAGTGGGTTATGAACTCCCATTTTTACCCCGTATACAAATTGCAGAATCACATCAGTTACACATCCATTGATTTACATATTGCCATACTAGTGTCTGTTGTATTCTGCTGCCTTTCCTATCCTCTACTATCCCCCATCCCCTCCCCTCCCCTCCCCTCTTCTCTCTCTACCCCCTCTACTGTCATTCATTTCTCCCCCTTGTATTATTTTCCCCTTTCCCCTCACTTCCTCTTGTATGAAATTTTGTATAACCCTGAGGGTCTCCTTCCATTTCCATGCAATTTCCCCTCTCTCTCCCTTTCCCTCCCACCTCTCATCCCAGTTTAATGTTAATCTTCTTCTCATGCTCTTCGTCCCTACTCTGTTCTTAGTTACTCTCCTTATATCAAAGACATTTGGCATTTGTTTTTTAGGGATTGGCTAGCTTCACTTAGCATAATCTGCTCTAATGCCATCCATTTCCCTGCAAATTCTATGATTTTGTCATTTTTTAATGCAGAATAATACTCCATTGTGTATAAATGCCACATTTTTTTTTATCCATTCGTCTATTGAAGGGCATCTAGGTTGGTTCCACAGTCTTGCTATTGTGAATTGAGCTGCTATGAACATCGATGTAGCAGTGTCCCTGTAGCATGCTCTTTTTAGGTCTTTAGGGAATAGACCTAGAAGGGGAATAGCTGGGTCA